GATGTCACACTTGAATGGAGTGCGGATCACAGATGAAAAGGCACCTTGCTTTGTGTCTGCAGTCATGGCAGACCAAAGCAAAAAAGAAGGCAAGCAAAAGATGGAGATGTTATCCGCCATGCAAGTGAAAGTTGGGCTAAGGAAGGCGAGATAACATATCTTGCAACTTTGGTGGAGATCAAACCAGACATGCTGGTTAAAGTACCTAATGCAGTGGCAAATGTATTGGAGGAATTTGCTAATGTTATGGCCCCAGAACTCCCCAAAAGCCTTCCGCCCACACGAGCAATTAACCACAAGATCAAGTTGGAGCCTGGTGCTAAGCCTCCAGCCCATGTCCCTTACCGGATGTTGTCAATGGAACTGGCAGAGTTAAGGAGGCAATTGAATGAGTTACTAGATTCTGGCAGTATGAAGCCATCCAAGGCGCCATATGCAGCCCCCGTTCTATTCCACAAGAAGCAAGATAGTTCACTGCGTATGTGCATTGATTATCGAGCCTTGAACAGGGTAACAATCAAGAACAAATACCTTGTTCCGAAAGTTGCTGATCTGTTCAATAGACTGTCCAAGGCAACCTTCTACACGAAGTTGGATCTAAGGACTGGGTATTGGCAAGTGAGGATTACAGAGGGAGATGAGCCTAAGACTGCGTGTGTGACGCGCTAAGGGTCTTTTGAATTTCTTGTAATGTCGTTTGGGCTCACCAATGCCCCAACAACTTTCTACAATTTAATGAATGATGTCTTTTATTAGTACATCGATGTCTTTGTGGTTGTTTACTTAGACGATATTGTGATTTATAGTGAGACATTGGAGGATCACATAGATCATTTGAGGGCGGTGTTCTCACGACTTAGAGAGCTCTAGCTATATGTCAAGAAGAAGAAGGCAGCAGGCTTGCTTCAACCACTGCCTATTCTTGACAGACCGAGGTAGTCAGCCTCAATGGATTTTGTATGCAACCTGCCAAAGTTTGATGGCATGCGTTCGATCATGGTGGTGGTCGATCGTTTTTCCAAGTATGCGGTGTTCATTCCTGCACCTCATGCTTACCCTGCGGATGTTGCTGTAGAGCTATTTTACAACCATGTGGTAAAGTACTTCGGATTGCCAGAAGATATAGTCAGTGATCTCGACACCAGGTTCACAGGCAGATTCTAGACTGTGTTTTTCAATCTCATGGGTTCTAAGTTGAAGTTCTCTATAACAAGTCATCCCTAGACTGGCGAACAAACTGAGCAAATCAATGCCTTGCTAGAGGATTACCTGCGACACTATGTCACTACAAGTCAAAAGAATTGGGTAGAGCTTGTGGACACTGCCCAGTTTTGTTACAACTTGCAAAAATCTTCAACGACAGGAATGAGTCTCAATGAATTGGCTATGGGACAACAACCACTTACTCCTCAGGAAATGATAAAATAGAGGACCGGAGGAAAATATCCCGCTGCATATCGCTTTGCCTATTTCAAGCAGGAGGTGCTTAACGAGGCAAAGGACAGCTTGGCCAAAGTTGCCCGACGAATGAAGAAGTATGTTGATCAAGGCTGCAGACTACCGGAATTTCAAGTTGGTGATCTTGTCTTACTGAAATTGACTCATGCGATATGGAAGAGGATCAACAGCAAGGTAGTACACCGTGGGCTTGTTCCCAAATACAATGGCCCCTTCGAAGTGATGAAGAAAGTCAGGAATGTTGTCTATCGCTTGAAGCTACCTGACCGATTGAAAATTCACCCAACTTTTCATGTGAGTTTTCTCAAGCCTTTTCAGGAAGACTTCCTGAATGCTGGAAGAAAACAAGCCAAAAGAGCTCCACCCATCATCAAGAAACAGTTTGATAGAGAAATCAATAAGATTTTATCTCACCGGACCATGGGTCAAAGTAAGAAGAATTGCAGGACTGATTTTCTAGAACATTGAAAAGGTGGTTTCGAGGCAAATGCGAGTTAGGAAAGAGATGTGACTCTTTGGCAGTTCTAGAAACATATCAATAATTATTGGGACAACCTCTCAACAAGGATGTTGAGCTCTTTTGGTGGGGGGTGGTTTGTTACCCCCTTAGCTCGTTGGCGGCATTGGCATGTGGCAGTCTCGCCCAAAAGCGCCCATGCCTTAGCTAAATTGGCAGAAGTCTCACGCATGACTGAGGGAGGCAGTCTATATACATGGGCACATGGGCACAATAGAACATGCAAGCAATGTAGTCAGATGGCTTGAATTGTGGGGCAATGCTAGCTTGAAGGACTAAGTCATGGATTGGGCATGGCAAGGCACAAGTACAAGACAATCAGATATTGAGGGCTTATGAGGAATGCACATGCACAATATGTGAGGACGTTGGACATGTGCCCTGTAGATGGTGGCAGTTCAGTACAGTTGATGGCAGGTGCACAGCATGAGACAGTCTCTGTCATGTACACACAGTATACAGGGCAGTTGTTGCCTGGGCCAGCCAACAATTGCAACTGCCTCTGCCATGACCAACAATGGATGGAGTGGCTGAAGGTGGTCAGCCATTCTCAGTAGGCTTTGTAGGCGGATTTAAATTGTATGCAGTTGCCTAGGCAGTTGGGCTTGTAACTGCCACCCAAAATATTATAAATAGGCATGTCTGAGTCTGTAGTGCAACCAAGAGAGTTGGGCACGTTTTTGTCAACAGACCCAAGACTGAATTTCCTTTATACTTTGCTAAGAAACAAAAGTTTGGTCAATTGACCTATAAAGCTTGTGTTGTGCGTGAGTTTGTTTGTTTGTCCCTATTCTGTTCCTCTATGCATTTCTGAGTGTCTTGAGTGTTTGACTAAGATTGAGTGTTAGATCTCAATGCCATCACGAGACAAATTTAGTGAAAAATTTGACCCCGTGACACCAAGAAAAGTACAACGCCTTTCCATATGCCATATGCCATATGCCATTTCATGTATAATTCCTTCCTTTTTAGATAAACAAAATGAGTTTACTGGCATTTCTTTGAATTTTTCTTTTTTCAAATAATCTCAACCCATCCATTTCAATACCACTTTCTTGTCGCATACTCATCTCGAAAAGCGAATTCAGAAAAAGTTATTATAGTAAACAATCCTTTGCATACATACGACCAAGTCAACTAGAATCATAAAACATTCGTCACAGACAAGTGAAAAGATGGAGCAAACTTGAGAATGTTAATATCGTACTCTTCCTCTCGTCCATCACTAACCCATGCCCCTTTGGATTAAGATCTTCGATCCAAAGCACAAAGTTAATCATTGTTACCCATTGTTCTTTGCATTATCCGCGTTTCAACCAGATTGGAAAGCATTTGATATCAAACTGCACTTGGAGTTTTGCTGGAGCCAAGTCACAGAAACATGTAAATGCAAGATAAACAACTTGTCATTTCTACTCCTTCCAATGCAAGATAAACACTTATCTATTNCCAAAAGCGCCCATGCCTTAGCTAAATTGGCAGAAGTCTCACGCATGACTGAGGGAGGCAGTCTATATACATGGGCACATGGACACAAGAGAACATGCAAGCAATGTAGTCAGATGGCTTGAATTGTGGGGCAATGCTAGCTTGAAGGACTAAGTCATGGATTGGGCATGGCAAGGCACAAGTACAAGACAATCAGATATTGAGGGCTTATGAGGAATGCACATGCNGCCTTAGCTAAATTGGCAGAAGTCTCACGCATGACTGAGGGAGGCAGTCTATATACATGGGCACATGGGCACAATAGAACATGCAAGCAATGTAGTCAGATGGCTTGAATTGTGGGGCAATGCTAGCTTGAATGACTAAGTCATGGATTGGGCATGGCAAGGCACAAGTACAAGACAATCAGATATTGAGGGCTTATGAGGAATGCACATGCACAATATGTGAGGACGTTGGACATGTGCCCTGTAGATGGTGGCAGTTCAGTACAGTTGATGGCAGGTGCACAGCATGAGACAGTCTCTGTCATGTACACACAGTATACAGGGCAGTTGTTGCCTGGGCCAGCCAACAATTGCAACTGCCTCTGCCATGACCAACAATGGAGGGAGTGGCTGAAGGTGGTCAGCCATTCTCAACAGGCTTTGTAGGCGGATTTAAATTGTATGCAATTGCCTAGGTAGTTGGGCTTGTAACTGCCACCCAAAATATTATAAATAGGCATATCTGAGTCTGCNAGTTGATGGCAGGTGCACAGCATGAGACAGTCTCTGTCATGTACACACAGTATACAGGGCAGTTGTTGCCTGGGCCAGCCAACAATTGCAACTGCCTCTGCCATGACCAACAATGGATGGAGTGGCTGAAGGTGGTCAGCCATTCTCAGTAGGCTTTGTAGGCGGATTTAAATTGTATGCAGTTGCCTAGGCAGTTGGGCTTGTAACTGCCACCCAAAATATTATAAATAGGCATGTCTGAGTCTGTAGTGCAACCAAGAGAGTTGGGCACGTTTTTGTCAACAGACCCAAGACTGAATTTCCTTTATACTTTGCTAAGAAACAAAAGTTTGGTCAATTGACCTATAAAGCTTGTGTTGTGTGTGAGTTTGTTTGTTTGTCCCTATTCTGTTCCTCTATGCATTTCTGAGTGTCTTGAGTGTTTGGNATTATAAATAGGCATATCTGAGTCTGTAGTGCAACCAAGAGAGTTGGGCACGTTTTTGTCAACAGACCCAAGACTGAATTTCCTTTATACTTTGCTAAGAAACAAAAGTTTGGTCAATTGACCTATAAAGCTTGTGTTGTGCGTGAGTTTGTTTGTTTGTCCCTATTCTGTTCCTCTATGCATTTCTGAGTGTCTTGAGTGTTTGACTAAGATTGAGTGTTAGATCTCAATGCCATCACGAGACAAATTTAGTGAAAAATTTGACCCCGTGACACCAAGAAAAGTACAACGCCTTTCCATATGCCATATGCCATATGCCATTTCATGTATAATTCCTTCCTTTTTAGATAAACAAAATGAGTTTACTGGCATTTCTTTGAATTTTTCTTTTTTCAAATAATCTCAACCCATCCATTTCAATACCACTTTCTTGTCGCATACTCATCTCGAAAAGCGAATTCAGAAAAAGTTATTATAGTAAACAATCCTTTGCATACATACGACCAAGTCAACTAGAATCATAAAACATTCGTCACAGACAAGTGAAAAGATGGAGCAAACTTGAGAATGTTAATATCGTACTCTTCCTCTCGTCCATCACTAACCCATGCCCCTTTGGATTAAGATCTTCGATCCAAAGCACAAAGTTAATCATTGTTACCCATTGTTCTTTGCATTATCCGCGTTTCAACCAGATAGGAAAGCATTTGATATCAAACTGCACTTGGAGTTTTGCTGGAGCCAAGTCACAGAAACATGTAAATTCAAGATAAACAACTTGTCATTTCTACTCCTTCCAATGCAAGATAAACACTTATCTATTTGGAGATATCATACCGAATTGAGGATGACCTGAGTGCAGGGGCAGGAGCCTTTAATATTAGTCCTGTCTCACTGCTGAATATTGGCAAAAGCGGTTCGGCAATGCAAAGCAGAAATTAAATAGCAGATTTAGTAACAGAAGTAATGTTTCTCAATGCCTAGAACGGAAAACCACATCAACAATATAAAAGCTTAAAATATTTGAAACAGCATCTAATAAGGTACTTAAGGGAAGCAGAAAAGGTTTTTTAAATGTCGTAATATGAAATACTTCGGCCTTTTCAAGCTTTCTTCTGCTTTACTGGGGGTGGAAAGAGAAGACGGAACACCCATGCAGCCAATATTGCTCCGGCAAAGGGGCAGATCCAGTAAACATAGAACTGCTCCCATGTCTGGTGCCAGTTATTTACATAAGCCCAGCCAAAGGCCTGCAGACACAATTAACAAAGGTCATGGTAGTCAAGACAATTAAATAGCTACAGGCCACAGCTGTATAAGTGCCTCTTTGTAATTTTTTTTCTGTATGTTAAACATCACAAAAAAAACAGAAGGGCACAAAAACAAAGTGAAAGAATCAAAAGAGACAAGATAAATGGTGTGATTTGCACAATTCTTGTAGACATCAGCCACAGATGATAACAAATAGATTTAGGTTCATTTCTTCTGCCTCAAGCAAACCAAGAGATTGAAGTCTCCACATATAGGAATTGTAACAAGACAGAGAGGTGAATTTGCAGGACCCATCTCATTTCCACACTAGGATTCATTCCCATTCTGATACACCATAACGCTGCGTTTGGTACACGGTATTAAGTCTGGGAATGGAATTATGAATGCCCATTCCTATGTTTGGTTGATACGAATAAGATTTCATTCCCATTACCAAGGAATAGCTAATCCCACTAATTATAAGACTAGGCATTGTCATATAAAATCTGGTATTTCCCATTCCAACCTACACGGTAACTAGCCTAATTTATCGAAACAAAAAACCCGATCTCTTCCCTTCCTCGCTCGATCTCTCTTTTACCTCCTCTCACATCACCTCTGCTAACATCTACGACTCCTCCTCCCCTGTTCCCTTTTCTCTACTCCTTTCTTCACCCTCCCCTCTCACCAACACCCCTGCCATTCCACCATTCCCCTCATCCCCTCTAAACTATTTTCTGCCTCTCAGGACCTCATTGACGAACATGAACAACCTAGATTAGCTCAAATCCAACGTTAGCAACCAAACTAATTCTATTTACCAACCCATTGCATATACAACCTTGAATTTTCAGGGTTTTTGGATTTTCTTCTCTTTGCAAAACGAATCAATCTCTGGAATCCACTCTATATATTTCTACACACACACTAGGTATTTTCATTTTGAGAGTTGTTTAATGCCATGTTCTGACACTATGGGCGGTAGCTCGGTGAGTTTTACCATAGTCGTCGTGCTTGATTGGTCGGGTTTAGTCTTGCTTGAATTATTTGATCCAGTCAAACTTTACGCATTCTAAGTGTTTGATAAAATGTCTGAAAGGCATATCAAAAAGGAAAGCTAAATCAGACCAGCTGTGTTTGGTTGTCTAACCACACAAATTTCTGGCCTTCACTAAGTAGCTGCCTAGTAATTTTGTCAGTGGTCAATTTTGAGGAACTCCCCTTTCATTTAGTTGAAGCATTTATATTTATCCTTTGCAGAACTGCATTAATGCTTGTGCCTGTTCATCAAATCATATAATTTATTATGCCTTTATCCTTGCTGTGGAGATTAAAAGGACTCGGGCTATTTTACCTACCACACGTCATTATAAATCCAATGGAATACAACTTAAAGGTAAAACGCATATCTGATGGCTAAATATGTAAATGGCTACTAAGGGGCATGATGTTCATGTTAAAGTGAACTTATAATCACGTATACACAAAAAAATAGCGCAATTTTTTGTGGTGGATTAAAACATAGTTGTCTATTGTTAGGTTTTCTAAAATTTGCGTTCGATTTGTAATCCGTATAATGTCTATGGATGTTAGTTATTGTCTGGTGTGATGACAGTGCCATCAGTGTACATACAGTCATATGAGCTATCTAATTAGCTATAAGGTGAGCTTGTAATAGACCAAAAATATTTGTCACAAGGAGCTTAATGCCATTTATTAGGGGTAGCTATTGTTCAGTTCTTATTGTTTATGTGATTGTAGCTACTTCTTGTACTTGCTATTGTAGTTAATTTTAATGTGAAACATGCAAAGGGTTCAAAATCACGGTATTGACTATTGATTCGAAGTTAGATACATTTCTCATGGCAATTGCGGAATAGAATCGGGTGATATGCANGTTAATTTTAATGTGAAACATGCAAAGGGTTCAAAATCACGGTATTGACTATTGATTCGAAGTTAGATACATTTCTCATGGCAATTGCGGAATAGAATCGCAAAATAAAAAGTTGAAGAAAAAGATTTAAGAAAAATTGCTGAATTTTTCCATTACCTAGACAGAGGCACAAAGCCTCGAGCCCTTATAATTCATTTATTGGATGATGTATAATTGACGAACTTATGTTTGCCTCTCTTTTGTTTATAAATAGGTAGAGGATTATTCGTAGCAGAATTTTGTTCTGCTATGCTATATTTTTAATGCTAATGTCTACAAACTATATTTAGGTCAAATTGTTGTGCAAGTGATTATTTTATAAGTTATTAGTTTTGCATTATATCTTCTTTATCGTTTCAAAATTATTTATAATTCTTTATTGCCATAAAAATATTTTAGTTAAATTTAATTTCATTCCAATAAAACATTGATTTATCCAAATGTTGGAATGAAATGTGCATTCCATTCCAGCATTTAATCCCAAACAGTAGTCAAACAATGGAATGGTAATGCATATTCCATTCCATTCCATTCTTGCTCTCATTCCATTCCCGTGTTCATTCCATTCCAGTTTAAAAGCATTATTATGTACCAAACACATTGTAAAAAATTATCAAGAGGTCAAGGTTTCAAAATTTGATTTTTAGGTATTTATGCTTACATCTGAATTTGCAAAGTTAAGCATAGGTTGTTAAAAGATGATTAATGCACGAAAACTATTTAACTATATAATAGAGCACTTGGGACCTTAAAAATAATATAGGTGTAAAGAAAAGGGTTGCATAATGTAAGATAGAACTCATAGGTGGTGTTTGGGTAGTGGGGGGGTTATCCACTAGTTGGATGGAATAAAAAAGGGGTGTAGCCCATATAACCCTTGTTTGGGAGGCAAAAAAGGAGATGGGATATAATTCCCAGATATTCAATGACTCATTAGTAACAGTAACTTTTGGACTATGTACATGGGTTAATTCTAACCCATCTCTGAGGTGGGTTACAAAGCCAGTTGACCAGATATAGGGTCAAATTTTCTATTTTTCCCTTCCTTTCCCAAATGCCAAGGAACGGTGTTGTTCATGCTAGAGCACCAGATCTTCTCTTTCAATCATCGGTCTTCTCTACAAACAGAAGAAAACGACTCCTCCATTGAAGCCAAAAAACGTAAGGCAAAAGAGAGGAAGATCTAGAGGCTTTTAGGTATTCTTCTCTCCATAACAATGGAGGATAAAATTTATTTTTCCCCAAATTTGTTTCATCTGCTAAACAAGAAGCCCTAATTCCCCANGTTTTTTTTTTTTTCTTTTCAAGGCCATTTAAGAAGGCAGATCGAGGCTAGTTTTTTTGGGTATATTGAGGTATGCAATTTCGGCATTTTCTCTGTTACGTGTTCCTTTGGTGTCACCATTCTCAACCTCAACCAATCACCAATAAACAATAACACAGAGAACCAACAAGATTTGAGAGAGAGAGAGAGAGATCGCATAAATTCCAAGATGGTTTTTGGACCGTCGCAAGTACTGCTTTGACGACTTTTCATCCCACTTCTACTCAAAGGTATATAACCTCACCTATGTCCCTAATCTGATCTTACATTGGTTTTTTCTTTTGTTTCATGAATTTCTATGTCTAAGTGTATCTCTAGTGCTTGTATGACTAGTTTTGTAGATATAAAGGGTTCAAGAAGTAATAAAGAAAGTCTTTCCTTACACATCTTGTCAACTGATATTTTCTAGTGTATTCATCTATTTGTGTAATGACAGATTATATTTTCAAGTGTATTCATCTATTAGTGTTTTAGGATTGTATCTGAATGGTATCACGTTACTATGTTTCTGATTTCAGATTACACTAAGTTAAGTCCCGCCGAATAAGGAAGCCTAATCAGAAGTACATGGGTGTGTGAGACTGGCTTGTTAGTTGAGTTGTTGCAGATTATTTGCAAGTATCATGTTTATGGTTTAAGTAGTTACAGATTGTGGGTAGTTTTGTCAGGGGTAGTGGCTTGTTTTCAGGAAAGTTGTTAATTGGTGTTTGTATAAATCTAGTATCCAGTACGAATAAAAGTTCAGAGTTTTCAAACCCAACTAAACTGTCTGTGGTGTGTTCAGGCCCAAACCGGAACTCTTCTACTCTCTCCCAATTACTGTCTTATCACACTACCTCTTATATCTCAAATTATTGCAAGATGAACCATAAACTTGGGTGGAGCTTGGTTAGAGCAGCAATTACGTTCAACACTTACTGGCATATGGGTTGCATTGACAGATTCTTTGTTCACAGATGGCCAACTTAAGAATGGTAATTATCTGGATTTGTATGCTGCATGCAATTCTGATTATGAGTCAGTGACATTCAGTTTCCTTCTTTGTAACTGATTTAAATTGCACAAATGCTACTGGAATGTAGTTACTTTTGTGATCAATTGTAGTAAATGATGGTATCCATTTATTGACTTTGACTTCTTACAATAGCACCCTTAGCTTTATACAATGTGGGTTGATCTTTTGAGTAATGTATGGCATACTGATATTGTCTTATAGGTTGGCTTTATGGCTTTATGATTTATTGATGGATATTATGTTATTTTGATGATTTTCTATATTTTATTTACCTAACTTATTTTCATTTGAAAGTAAGTGTTGTCTTCTTATTGCATTCAATTTCGATTTAAAAAATTTAACATTAGTTATGTGTGCAATATGTAATGTTTATATATTTTTCAAACTGACTATGCTGGAAATTTTGCTGCTAACTATTGTTTGTATACATGCCCCAACTTCCATTATTTTGAGGTGATTTTCAAAAAGGATGCACCGGGTTCAAGCAACCAACTAGGGGCATAGTGTGGGTTCATCACCATCTGTGAATTCAAGGAAAAATGCAACGGTTCATTATATCCATGTTTTTGTTTATTGAAATGTATACATGTGTTTGTAAGTTAATTAAATACATTAATGTGTATTTTCTATGTGTGCCTTGTTTTTTTGGTGCATTGGTTGTATAAGGCAGAAGTGGGTTATATCAGTGTGTTGTTTATTACAGTTTATCTGTGTTGTTAATTTAATTAAATACATTAATGCATATATTTTGTTATGTATAAATGTGATGTGGGAAATATTTCATCTTGGTCTGCTAAACCACCAATCCAAACAAATGATTGGATTTGATATATCCATGGGTAGAATGGTAAATTCATACAAAAGAAATGGTTTAATTCATAGGGCCCACAAAAGTGCACTTTTGTTTCCCAAACAATGGTTTGGATTGGATATACTTCCTAACCCATCAAATTTAAGAGGCTGAGTAGGCTTGGGTTGGAGGGGTTAGGATATAAAAAAGAAATCCTATCCTATCCAAACCCACTATCCAAATACCCCCA